TGTGCGTAGAATCCTTCAGTATTGCAACTCAAGGCTTGATTTTTGTTCTTCAGTTGTTTCAACCTGAGAAACGCCAAGCATGTTCTTCCCTTTTGGTTTTCTAACTCCTGGTCTTTGCACATTTCATTATAATAATTGGCTTTGTCTTCTCAAGCTGCTCTTTAATATCTTCTGTTCAGCTCTTTTATATCGTCATTTCTTCCATTAGCTTTAGCTACTCTGGGCTCAAGGGCAAACTTTAGAGATTCTTCTGACATCCATTTTGGTCTTTTCTTCTTGTCTTTTTAATGACCTCTTGTTGTCTTCACGCATGACGTTCTTGATGCCATCCCACAATTCTGCTGGTTTTCGGTCACTGGTGTTCAATGCATCAGATCTATTCTTCAGATGGTTTATAAATTCAGGTGAAATAGAATCAAGGTCGTATTTTGGTCCTCATGGACTTGTTTTAATTTTCTTCAGCTTCAACTTGAACTTGCCTATGGGCAATTGATATTCTATTCCACAGTCAGCTCCTGGCCTTGTTTTAACTGAAGATACCGAGTTTCTCCATTGCCTCTTTCCACAGATGTAGTCAGTTGGATTCTGGTGTATTCCATCTGGTAAGGACCATGGATATAGCTGCTGTTTGTTTTTGAAAAAAGGTATTTGCAATGAATAAGGCAAAATTCTATCGTGTGATCTCTGGCATAATTTCTGTTACCAAGGCCATATTTTCCAACTACCGTTGATTCTTTATTTCCAACTTGTGCATTCCAAGCACCAGTAATAATCAATATATCTTACTTGCATGTTTGGTCAATTTCAGACTGCAGAAGTTGGTAAAAATCTTCAGTTTCTTCATCTTTGGTTTTAGTGTTGGGGTGTAAATTCAAATAGTAGCCACATTAACTGGTCTTTCTTGTAGGCATATGGATATTCTCTTATCACTTCAGCACAGATCTTGCTTTTTGACGATGAATGCCACACCATTCCTCTTCAATTTGTCATTCCCAGCATGGTAGACCATAAGACTGTCTGATTCAAAATGGCCAATACCTGTCCATTTCAGCTCACCAATGCCTGGGGTGGCATATCAGTCTTTATGTGTTTCATATTTTGACAACTGCCGATTTTTCTAGGTTCATACTTCATACATTCCACTTCTAATTATTAATGGATGTTTGCAGCTGTTTCTTCCCATTTTGTGTTGTGCCCGATCAGCAAATGGAGGTCTTGAAAGTTTGACTCCATCTACATCACTAAGGTGGACTCCTCTTTGAGGAGCCAGCTCTTCTGCAGTCCTATTTTGAGTGCCTTCTGACCTGAGAGGCTCATCTTATGGCCCTATATCAGACAATGTTTCAGGGCAATTCATAAAGTTTTCTAGTAATATATGAGACAGTGTTCACTGCGGTTCATAAGGTTTTCACTGGCCAATTTTTTTTTTCAGAAGTGAATAGCTCTGTTCTTCTTCCCAGTCTGTCTTAGTCTTGAAGTTCCACTGAAATCTGTCCCCCCCGGGTGACCCTGCTGGTATTTGAAATACTGGTGGCATAGCATCCAGCCTCACAACACACAACCCAAACCACCACAGTACAACAAACTGATGGACAAGTGGTGGAATTCGGTAGTTGTTTTTTCTTTTCTTTCCTTAATGTTTCTGGGGGACCCTGTACTTTTTTAAAATTGTGGTAAATGTATATATAACATTGGACTCTGTACTTCTTACTTCTTAGTATCCAAAACCACAAAACACCTCTGTGGTCCACTGGCCCTGTGGAATACTAGTCAAAACTAGAAAAAAAGGTAGAGAAACTGACGAGAGATGAAGAGAAGTCCACGCTGACAGTGGGATTCGCAACAATATCCTTACTGATGATCTTGATGTCTTCTCATGGCTTCCTAAACATTTACAGGGCAGAAGGCACTCATGATCTAATTGGAAAGACCTGAATTGAAAAGCAGTGGATGGTAAGCGCTGTGCAAATTAGGAAAGGATGCCAGAGAGTAACAGCTCCTTAACCGGAGCTCTGATGGCACTGCGGCTAAGGCACTGCATTGCTGACCAAGATGTCAGTGGTTCAAGGCTGCCAGCTGTTCCACAGAAGGGGCAGTCTTCCATGATTCACAGCCTTAGAAACCTTATAGGGGCCACTATGAGCTGGAATCGACTCAATGGCAATGGATTTGGTTTTTGTTTTAACTGCAGGATAAAGGGCCCTGTTGGCACGGTGGTTAAGCACCGGGCTACTAACCAAAAGGTCAGCAGGTGGAAGCCCACCAGCTGCTCCACAGAAGAAAGATGAGGCAGTCTTCTGTAACGATTATGGCCTTGGCAGCCCTCCGGGGCAGTTCTACTCTGTCCCACAGGGTCGCTGATGCGGAATCAACTCAATGCCCGTGGTTTTTGTTTGTTAGCTGGAGACTGCACCCTGGATGTTCATGCTCTGTATGGACGAAGAGACCAGCCAAAGGGTCAATGCAGGAAATAAAGTCCCCTGAACTCAGTGTCAAGGGCGTTGATTGCCAAGTCAGGAATCAGTCCCATAGACAACAGGGAATGTGCACTCCTGTGAAGCCACATGGCCCCAAGAGGAGAGTTTTAGGCGGGGTGGGACGCCAGCCCCAACACTTGTAGCTGTGCCTGGACGTGCTCCTTCACCCGAGCGTCCACTCCTTCTGCAAAAGGTAGAAACTTAGGAAGCAAGTTGTAGGTATTCGACGAGACCGTACACAGTGCACAGAGAACAGCCCCCAGGCTACTAGAGTATCAGCCGTCTTTAACACTTCTGATCAGGAGTTTCATCTTCCTAAACCGTTTTGATAATCCAGTGACAGTGCCTGCCATGGGAAGAGAGACTGTCAGAGACGGAGAGAACCGGTTAGGAAGCTAGAGAAGTGCTCCAGTGCGCGGTTCAGGGAGAAGGGCACAGCTCAGGGACAGAGCACAAGGGCTTCTGGTGGCTCAAGGGCAGTAGCTTGTTGCACGTTAACAACCAGTTAGGCTTTCCTCCGAGGATTCTTAAACAGAATCACGTTGCTGGAGGCACAGACACGGAGGCCACGCACAGCATTTAAGATACAGATACACAAAGACATCTTTGTGACTTTGGCTTGGTGATGAGTTTTTAGATAGGACACGAAAAGCGTGCTCCATTAGAGGAAAAAAAATTGATCAAACTAGATGTCTTCAAAGGTAAGAGAGCTTCTGCTCTTCAAAAAATGCCATCAGAGAGTGAAAAGACAAGCCACGGACGGGAAAAAAATCTGCAAATTTGACAAAGCACTCATGTTCAGAACAAACAATGGGGCAACACTCTGGACACTCCACCAGCCAGCAAAGACGGACAAACGGCAGCACGTTCCACCGGCCAGCGAAGACGGACAAACGGCAGCACGTTCCACCGGCCAGTGGAGACGGACAGACAGCAGCAGCGTTAGAGAAATGGCAACTGAAGCCCACACCCTGTGGAATGGCCAAAATGGTCAAGGAAACAAAAATCGGAAACAAGTGCTGCCCAGGACACAGCACAGAGCAGCCCCGTCCGGTGCGGGCGGGGGGCAAAATGGTGCCGCCGCTCTGACCAGTTTGGCCCTTCTTATAAACCTCGACAGGCAGTCTGCCACAGGGATCTCACCCCAGTGAAACGAAACCCTATGTTCACACAATACCTCCCCACAACTCAAGCAGGGAATCATCTGTTTACTGAGGAGTGAGAAACAGTCTATCCACACAGCGAACATTACTCAGCAGTAAGGAGAAATGATCCCTCACACTTGCAACAACACGGAGGAACCTCACACGCATCACACTGAGTACAAACGGTATGGACTGGGGCTCCATTCACCTGGTGTTCTGGAAAGGCAGGGGTGGGTTGGTCACTGAGGAGCTGTCTGCCAAATCCAGTCCACGTGGCCTCGTATGGCCTGCGAGCTGAGAATGGTTTGCACATTTTTAAATGGTTGGAAAAAACCCCGATTTCATGACATGAAAATTACACGTAAGTCCAAGTCCAGTGCTGAGAAGTAAATTTTTATTGGCACACAGCAATGCTCACCCTGAGTCGTCCACGGCTACTTTCAGACTGTGATGCACAGCCTAGCAGCTGCCACAGACAGCCGCCAAGGCTGAGTCAGTCACTACTAGTCCTTTCCAGAGAAGGTGTGCAGAGCCCTGCGGAAGGGGCCTGCTGGGGAGGGTTTCATTACATGAGGGAGTGCTGGGGCAGGTGGGGTGGTGATGAACTGCCGTTTTGATAGTGCTAGTGTAAAAAATTCAACTAAGATGAGGAACAGAGTCAATATACAAAATGTTTTTAAGAAGCATATGCTTATGATAAACTTATGCACAGTTAATACTTTTCATATTTGATTTGGTAACTCTGACTTGGAATTTTTCTCAAGCATTTTAAGAACGCTTGTTTTTAAATCTTACAAAGTTACGGGTAGCAAGCACTACCACAATACCGGCCTCCCCAACTAGTCCCATCGACATTTTACTGTCAAAATATAGACAGAGTTTTTAACACCAAAGGAAAACTGTATTCTTTTACAGTTAAAAAAAAAAAAAAAACAATTGGACAGAGTAAGAAACATTTCCTTGAAATACAAAACCTCAAATGTGACATCCTGGCCACAAAGTACATTCAGCTAAAACCGGAACTAGCTGGACCTAGCTTCAAAATATACACAAATGAATTTCTACAACTCCTATCTAGAGACTCTTGAAAATGGAAAGTAAGACGCTGAGCACAGCTCTCCGCCTCTGCAGCTCAGAGCTGACGCAGAGCAACGGGCGGCGGCTCGCTGCACGGGCAGCGCCTTCTCGGGTCGCACGGCAGCGTGGGCCTGACAGGGCTCCTGGGGGTGGGGCTGCGCGCGAGGCTGTGCCTTAGCGGGGAGGTCCCGCCTCCAGGAAGGCTCTGAGGAGACCCAAGTCCCGCAGTCGTGCTGGCTTTGAAGCAAGGCTGCTGGTCCACAGGGCTCGCCAGGTGGGCGGTAGAAGCGCTTCTTGGTTGTTAGGATTCAGCTTCGTCATCGTCACACTCGTCACTGTTGTCATCCTCTCTCTCCTTGACCTCCCCCTTCTCCTCCTTAAGCATTTTCAGGTATTTACTGGCTAAAATCTTCTTTGGTAATATATCTTAAAAACAGAAAGCGTAGTTAGCAATGGGTTAGGACAACCCTGGGGTACACTGATACAAATTTCAAAACGAACTCATTCCTGCCTTGACCTCTAGAACCGGTTCTAAAGACGACAGAATTCAGGTTACACTTCTGGGCGAAGTCCCAGAGAATCTAGCGTGACCTCCTGATCCGCTGACAGCAACCAGTGCTTCTGCGCTGGAAGGATCGGGAGGGGTCCTGCCCAGCCTGAGACCTTACACTGTCCTTAGCCACGGCCCTGTTCCACAAAGCCCACGGTGCTGCTGGTTCCGGGGCCAAGGCGATCAGCTCGGAGATTCCCTTCAACAGCAGAGCAGACCTGAGGGGCACCCACCCGTCAGCCAAACGCTCTAGTGCAGTTTGTTGGCTTCACTACTGTTTTACGGGACCCACATTACAAAACACATTCAAAGAAAGGAAGTCAAAAGTGTCTGTGCGTGCCAGGTCATGGTCCACTTTGGCACCTGGGGAAAGCAGAGCGGAAAGCACGCAGTAAGTTACTAAGCCTGTTTTACTCAGCTTTCAAAGTACCTGCAAGAAACTGAAAAGTTTCTGACTCCTCTACAGTGTCCGACAGGTCGCTGTAGGTCAGCGCTCTCTTTTCTTTCCCGCTGCCATGTTTGTAGGAGTAGGTGGCTAGATACTGAACAAAGAGCTCCTAAAACAAAACGTGGAAAGGCCAATCAAAGCCAGGCTCCAAAATCCGATCAGAGAGCTAGGTATGTTCAGTTACATCACATTTAGGTGACTGCATGTGATCCCGTTTCCCTGGCAGTGAAGGCAGTTGGAAAGGCAGCTGGGCCCGGGTGTTCAGTGGTTCAGCCTGAGACGGTTTCTACATTGAATCCCAGGAAATCACCGGGGGACAGGAACACGAGCTCTTGGAGAGAGCAAGGCCTGATCAAAGTTGGTGGGAAAGCAGGCATTTCCCAGAGACTGATTGTAGATTTCTAACTTCAGAAATGAGAAGAAACCATGACTCATCCATGTGGAAGGACCTCTGAAAAACGAGCCGATTCCGTTAGGCTCGGGCACATTTCTCCTGTCGGAGTGCACTCTTTCCAGGGTGGCTCACCTCAGACCAAACCACACCAAGGTCTTCCCGACCTGCACACATGCCCTCTGCGGGCCACCGACATGGACTCCTCCGCCTGGCCCGGCCTCTCGAGTTGGTGTGATCCAGCCAGCTCGGTTAGTGAGAGCTTAATCAGGGTCTTGGTGCCTAGTTCTCTAATACTCACTGAACGAAACTGCACACAGCAAAACAACTGGCCGACATCCTCGCTGAATGCTCAAATTTTTCCTGTGCCCGAAGAAGGCACAGCTCAAGCATACAGCGGGCAAGAACCGTGCGGTCCCCAACAAGTCGCAGGGACGTGGGGAACTGTGCCAGCTTGCATCTGGCCTACGACTAAAGGCCAAAAAAAAAGTCATCCACTTTACACCTACGAAGGGACCAGCGCAAGCTGTAACTCGGTTCCCTTTTTACTTGAACCAAGGAGAGGGGCGGTGAGATTGGGCGCGGGAAGCGGGAGGAAGCACAGCTCTGGCGCTATCCGATTCCTCTGGATTCCATGAATGAAGAGGTTAAATGATACACACTTCATTTGCTTTCCCCAACCACCACTCGGATGCGCAGCTACGCTATCTGCGGAAGGCCCACCCGTCTGCGCCCTGTTATGGGGAAGACGACGACAGCGCTCCTGGGGCCTCAGAACCACGAAAGACAACCGAAAAAAGAGCGAGGGTTGCACCACCCGGCTAGAGAAGCGTGGGTAGAGGAAACGCAGACCCCAGAGAACTAGGGCGGGAGCGACGCAGCACGCGAGAGGCGGGACTTCGCGCGGTGGGCAGAGCAGCAGAGACGCACGACGCAAGAGGGGACGCCAAGCACTGCGAGTGCGCGCGAGAGCAACGCAGTACGCAGGGAGTGAGGCGATGCGCGATGGGCGGGGCGGCAAAGAAGCTGGGTGCGAGCAGCCAAGAGGTGCGCAGAGGACGGGCGCGCGAGGGAGGGTGGGAGTGACGCCAGACGCGAAGGGCGGAGCGATGAGCAGGTGGGCGGAGGTAGAAGGGAGCGAGCGCGGCGGGAAGTGAGGGGCGCTGCGCGGGGGCGGGAAAGCACTCAAGGGAGGATGTGACGGCGGTGGGCGGGGCGCAACGAGGGAGAGCGCGCGTCGGCCGTGGTGGCGCGCGCGCGCACGCGCGAGCCTGCGCAGGGGAACGGCGGCGCGCAGGCCGTAGAGGACTGGACAGTGTGGCGACGGCCCAGCTGGGCGGGGCCCGACGGTTGAGGGCGGCGGCACCCCAGGCCCTCATTTACTCCTCCCCGCACGCTGCCTGCCTCACCGTGGCTTTGGCCGTGAGCACCAGCGCCTCCTGGTTAATGCTGGATACCTCGGGGGAACTCTTCATGATGACCCGGATGCGGGACAGGGGCAGCGACACCAGTCGCTGCTCCCCGCCCTTCTCTTTGCCGCCGACCACGTCCGCCATCTCGCCACCCCCTGCCCCGCGGGCGGCAGCCGCGGCGGGCCCAATCGCGAGCACACCACCGCCGACTCCCGCCGCGAGGCAGCCAGCAAACAAAGTTGGTGCCTGGGAGGCGGAATCCCGCTGCCCCGTGGGAGTTGTAGTGTTCGGAGGCGCGGCCGAGAGGTGGGGCGGCCCTTCAGGCGGGGACTACGAGCCCCGTGATGTCGTGCACACTCGGCGCTTTTGCGCCTGCGCTAGAATTTATTGTGTCAGTAGTGCGCGTCGACGCCGTTACGTCAGCCCGGGACTTTCCAGGAGGTCATGTCACTTACTGGGTCCGCGCTCCCTCACCTTAGGCAGTAAATAGCCGGAAGGGCGTGTCACCTCCTTGCGATCGCTCTTAGTCCGCTGAACCCTGCGCTGAGCGTTGAGAATACTGGGACCAGTCCTGTGCCTGTCCCCGAGGAGTGTGCAGTCAGCCCAACGGGAATACAATCCCTAACCTAAAGTGGGGTTCAGTGTCAGGTGCAGGGGCAAAATCCAGGAAATTGGAGGGCAGGTCGGGGTGCTGCACACAGGACGTGGCAGCGGAACCTGATTTTGAACTTGAGGTAAGAGTTCCAATAGGTGGCTGATCTCTGCCAAGACGGAATTCAACATTGAACCAAGAGTAGCGGTTTCTTGAAGCTTACATTGTAGAGTGGAAAAGAGAAGTTTTTTTAAAAAAGGCAAATGTACAGTATATTGCCTGGTAGTTACAACTAGTGTGAAGGAAGATAAAGCCTTGTGAGAACATGCAGAGTGATGGGGCAGTGCTTTTTTAACTGGGTGGTAGGGTAGGAGACGGGGCAGTGAAGAAAGCGAGCAAGCCCTATTGCTGTCTGATGAAGCTCTTCCTGGGAGAGAGAACAACGAGTGGAAAGACCCAGAGGTGGAGCCCGCTTATCTAAGGAAGCTCAGACAGCCCCTGTGTGGAGCCATGGTGTGTCAGAGGTCTGAGAAGTAGCCAGGGACTAGATCTTGTTGCATTTTATTCTTAAGAAAAATTCCAGAGTCGTTAAAGGGTTTAATCAGAGGAATTATGGGATCTGTCTTGACTTTTGAAGGATCCCTCTGACTGGGGAAGAGGGGGGTGGGTGGAAGCAGAGACCAGATAGAAAGCCATCGCAGTCATCCAGGCTGTCAATGATTAAGATACCAGTGTGGCAAAAGTGAAATAAGCTAGGAGAAGAACGATTCGAGGTCGCCCCTGGCGACTGGCAGATCGGGTAAACTGGAATTCTTTCCAGATGAGTTGGGAGGCCCTTGGGACGGTATGAGCAAAGGATAAATGGCCTAGCTAATTTTACAAGCTTTGCTATTTCTGTGCGTGGAATAGACTGTAAGGAGGCAAGAACGGAAGCTGGGAGAGAGAACAATTAGGAGGTGGTTACAGGGGCCAGGAGAGATGATGCCGTTGAGACTAGGGCAGTAGGGTGGGGGTTGAGAGGGTGGGAAGTGGTAGGATTTGGGGTCTGATTTGAAAAATAGAGCCAGTAGGATTTGCTGATGCTGTGGACTACAAGAGAAAGAGCAGTGGTGCCGTTGGCTGAGAAGGAGAATGCTGTGGGGGAGCATGTCTGGCAGGTCTTGGGATTTGGAAGAGTATCAAGCACCAAATGCGGTGCCAAGCAAAGAGTTCCATCTTCATCCTTGAGTTCAGGCTAGAGAAGTGGGATCAGGAGCTCTTATCATCTCTCGTTAGGTGCTGCCGAGTGGGTGTTCTACTCACAGCAACCCCTTGTGGGAGACTAGAGCCGCCCCAGTGGGTTTCCCAGGCTGAAGACTTTGTAGGAGCAGATCTCCAGGTCTTTGTCCCACAGGGCCACTGTGGGTTTGAATTACCAACCTTTGTGTTTAGCAGCTGAGTTCTGTAACTACCAAGTGATAGTTACAGCCATGAGACTGTATACAGGTGGGCAAGTGTGGTCAGAGTAGGGAGAGATCTGAGGACTTGGGAACTGCAGCACCTGGAGATTGGGATGAGAAGGAGAGTCCAGCACAGAAGGCTCGGAAGAAGTGGACCCTGAATACCAGGAAAAACGAGATTGTGTTGTCCGTAAAACCAGGAGAAGAAAGTGGTCTGAAAGGAGAAACTGGAGAGCTGGATCAGGTGCTGCTGAGAGGTCAGGGACGCAGAGGGCACCCAAGAACAGACCTCACGTGTCCCCCAGATTGATGCTGTTTGTAGGACTAGCAGTCTTCACGTCCCCCTTTGGGCTGATGACCCGCTGGGTGCTATATCACCCTGTGCCTTCACCGCTGTGACCTCAGGCCTGGCCCAGACATTGAGCACAGAATATCTGCCAGGCACTGCCAGGCACAGGGCTGCAGTCAGTGAGCAAGACAAGCCAGCCGTGGATGCTGTGCTCCTAGAGCACGCTCTCAGGGGTAAAGGAGACAGAAGAAAATGAGAACATGTCCGAAGATGAGTGTGATGGTCGGTGTTGTGAAGAAGACAGACCAGAGGGTGAGGAGGTAGCAAGTGACTGTGATGGGGTAGTGGCTGCCAGAGATTGGTCAAGAAAGACTTTTCTGAAGAAATTACCTTTGAGCTGAGACCCAAGTAATGAAAAGGAACTGGCCTTCCAAGATAGAGGGTGTAGAGGTGCATTCCCAGCAAGTGAAATCACACCTGGAAAGGTCTGGAATGCAGGTAAAATCCCTGCCCTTAGGATAAAAGGCAACTGTGAAGGAGACAGCCCCAGGACACATCCATACCTAGGTGATTGGGAAAAGCCTGTCCGGAGAGTGCACAAAGCTCAGATCCTGGGATAAACAGCAGGACAGCTTGTGTGAGGACCCCTGAAGAGCCAGAAGACCAGTGTGGCTGGTGCTGAGTGAGTGGGTGAGGCAGGGGGGGCACAGGAGATGGGCTTAGCGAGGGGGCCGGACCAGTTCAGGCAGGCCTCTGAGAGCCAGGTGAGGAGTGTGGCTTCTGCTGAGCAGTGGAAAGGAAGCCATTAAGGTTGCACAGCTTACTTGTGAGTGGGAGTTGCAGCTTCAGCCCCTCTCCTTGGGAACACTCTTGACATCCACTAAGGAGCTGATCACAAAAAGAGCTGCACAACAGGGCCCTTCGGCCAGGAGAAACGAGCAGTGTTACCCAGCTTGAAGTTTTCAGAGGTTTTGCTTCTTTAGCTGGTTATTATTATTATTATTATTATTTTTGGTAAGTCCTGTTCTCTTGGATTTGTTTGGAACAGTATGGGTTAAGATTAGGAAACAAAGCATCTAAATGAAGGGAAAAGAAGCGAAGCAAGGGGAAAGGGGGAGGACATTGACAGTTACTGAATCGGCAGGTGGCACCTGCATTCATCGGTCATTTTGAGAGGCAGGGAGAGGCGAAGAATCAAATCTTCAGACTGGAAAAAAAGAAAGTGTTCTTTGTCTTTTCATAAGAAAAGAAACAAGCTTCAAATCTAAGACAGTAAGAGATGTAAAGGATTTAATGCTGGGGAACTTGACTGCCCTGGAAAAAGCACACGGACTTAGCATCTCTCGCTTGTCACCTCTGTACTCCGTGAGCCCACTTCGTCCTTACAGTGCCCCGAGAGATGAGGGGTTTTGTACCATCCTCATCCTTCTGTGCTCCCTCCACTCTCTGTGTCCTGGCATGTTAGAAACCATTGGCTGCCCTTCCCAGAATCCCTGGTCAGTGGTTTCTGGCTGAGTTCTGCCAGTGGGAGGCGCTGGTGAGAGGCTGGGGGAAGGGAGGAGGAAGCTGTTCCTCTGGTTCCCTGGAGGCATTGGCAGCATGGTGGCAACTGCAGGGGGTTTTCTGGGTGCACCACTAGCGTAGGTGGGGGGTGGAGCAGCTTCACCAAGGACAAGCCTCTGGGTTTCTGCACAGTATTACCCGCACCTCCAAAAGCTCAGTGACAAGTGTGGGCTCCAGGCCAGAGGCAGCACCTGCTGCTTGATCTCGCCTCCTTTTTGCTCAAAAGAACCATCTCCTTTTCCCTGCAGCTCCTCTAGCTGTTCTACATCCTTGTAACACCATCTAGGCATTAAATCTCTCAGCAATGTCTAGAGTTCAGTTCTTCTAATTGAACATGGAAACACATGGACTTGGTCTTAGGAATCCCTGGAAACAGATCCAGAAAAAAGGAATCTGGGAACTGATTGTGCTGGTACATAGATGTTGCCTCACTGACAGCATCCCCTGGCAAAGCAGTTACTAACCCATCGCCTGCCACTGCCTGGAACATAGTGTCTGGTGAAGGCAAGGCTGCTGTATGTGACCTTCATGGTGAGAAGGGCAAGACAAGGCTTCTAAGATGGCTGGCTGCTTCTGATTGCACTGGAGAGAGTTCCAGAAGAAAATGAAAATCTCAGGACTTTGTCAAGTAAAACGTGATCAGAGAACCAGTTTCTAGAGTATTGTTAGGTGCCCTCAACTTGGTTCTGACTCACAGTGACCCCCTGTACAACAGAATGAAACACTGTCTAGTCATGCACCATCCTCACAATCATTGCTATGCTTGAGCCCATTGTTGCAGCCGCGGTGTCGATCCATTTTGTTGAAGGTCTTCCCCTTTTTTGTT